TACACAAGAAAACTTCTTCAAAAAAATAGCATAAGCATGCAAATAAATTAGTACTTCTTTGTAAGTCTTGAAAAGCTTAGTAGCCTTATTTTATGTGTCGCCAGTCATTGAGAACCACTAAACATGTGGCAAGAGCTTTTATTACAGAAGCGGTCACCTACAAAGGGATTACGACCTGCGAGAAGTATATTTGAAGTATCACATTTATAAGTGAAAATCCTAATTTAAATGAGCTACCTGCTGCTGAACTCAAAATTCTACTTGAAAAAGAGATCGCATACCTTCGGAACATCTTCAGCACAGGCGATATGCTTGACTACTGGCATACCTTTTTCGTTGACTTCTACCTCGCATGCAACGCACACTGAATGGAAATAATGCCACTAAGAACTGAAAACACATTGTATATTGAAGATACATGTTTCTCCAATCTTCTTCTGGATAGTTTCATCCACTCCTTTAACCTTCATATTCTGTGGATTACCCGACGCATCGCACTAAAGTAAAACCTTGCTTTCCCTTCGCTATGGAATAGAAGCTTCGCTGCCGAAGATAAATTAGTAGGCGCATTATGCTTTATGTTCTGGGTAAACTAGAGTGTTCAAAAGTATGAATATCAGCTGAATCCAGACATAGTTTTGGCTTAAATTATAGACGTAATCGTTCTAAGTTTGGTTTCCAAGCTTGTCAATTGTTACCTGGCATTGTCCATCAGCATAAAATATTGCCTCTCCATGTTTGCCCTTAACTAGCTGTCCCATAGTATAATTACGATATTTGATCTTGCCATCTTTATCCTTCTGGACTTTTTCCATAGGAATGAATTGTGGTGTTTCTAGAAATTGTACTCTTTCCCACAGACGTCATAGTCCCCGCACATTATTATTGCTATCCCTACTTACCATGAGCTCCTTTCACAAGTATTCCTTTGATTGTTTGTTGTGTAAGAGTAGCCCTCGGTCCGACTTCTGCAGTCTCCACCTTGTCAATTTCAATCAAAACTGCTACACCTGCTGGACCCTGTAAAGCTTCCAAATTTCCAGTACATTATTTCTTTGCAGTTCGTCAACATTTTGGGATGGAATCTTTAAAAAAGTGAAATAATGTCATCAAATGGGCAAATTATTGCTGTTGCAAATGAGAATTTGAAAATCAGCGCGGTGGATGAGAATTACAGAATAATCATATTTCGACTCAAACTTCTATGAAAAGTCTGAAAACACCTTAAAATACTTTGAAAAATCTACCAAAACATCCCAAAATGCTGGCGAACTGTTTTAGAAAATAAATAGAACCCTATAAAAGCATGCAATTAGTGTGCGTA